TAACGACACGCTGCATCATGTAACTTTCAGACCTCAGGTTTTCCAACATAAGGAAGCAACTTAATGTTACTGTGTGTGTGTGTGTGTGTGTGTGTGTGTGTGTGTGTGTGCACTTAGTATGCTCATTGGCTTTCTTATTAAGCTTCTATAAATTCCCAAAGGCTAGGCTTCCGGTATATATGTGTGTTTGCATACACTCTTGTACGTGCACACATTTCAAATATGTAGAGGAGGTGTTTCTTAAACCAAGTTCATTCAAGCCATATTTATTGCATGCATACTATTTTCCAGTCATTCTTCTGAGGGACTGAGGACATAATAAAACCCTTGCATTCAGGAAATGTTATAAGCACATTGTCACAGCCACAAGAGGAGCCTAATTAAATTTCAACGGTCAAATAAACGTTTTCCATAAAAATTATTTTGAAGAAATGAAAGATGCAACAGATTCCTGACCTTCTTAGGGAATCTTCTGAAATACCGTTTACGGATCATTCATGTTCTTATGCCTGTATTATAAAGTACTTCACATTCTAACCAAAGTTTACATGGACACAGAGTATATTTTCCACAATTCACAAAGTATATTTCAATCCTTACTGAGGGAATGGCATTCAGTAAGGCACTTCTAAATATGTTTTAAAAAGGCAGGACCTTGCCAAAAATGGTCATATCTATTTATGTGTTACTCCCACCATAATCCCATCTATATATTTCTCTTTCTTAATCTATGCCAATGTGAACTTAGAGTGACAGCTTCCCTCCAATAGAGTCCATATCTGTTTTTCTGCAGACCTAAACTAAAATCAGAGATGATCCATTTAAACATGCATTTATGGAATGCTTGCTGTGCGTGACATATGCAATCTGATCTCATCCTCACAGTAGTCAGTTCCATGCGGTTGTTATTACCTCTGTTTTACAGATAAGCAAACGGTCTCAGAGAGGTTAAATGATGCATGTCACACATGTGACCCAGTGGGAAGCTGAGTATTTAAATTCACTTAAGATGCTAGAATCCAAGTTTCACCTAATTTCTTACTCACCAATAGGAAGCATGCAAAGAAGTAAAAATTTATCAAGTGTCAAGAACTTTCATAATTTCTATCTCTTCTACAGGTCAATGAAAAATGGTCAGCTTTCAAATGCTTTTCCAATATTCACACAGATTTCAAATTGTTTTCATTGAAAAGAAAGGTGAGAAGCCAATGGGTATCTCTCAAGCCTAACTGCAGAATTATCAACCACAGATAAGACATTAAGAATAACAATTACTACAGTAGGACTCGTTTTCTCTTAAGGGCAAAACAGGTCTCTGGAAGAATATTAAGGAAACAGAGAACAGGGCTGCTACTGTAGAGAATGAAAGTATGAGCAATGACCATGACTGCCTGCCTTAGAAAACCACTGATGTGGGAAGAATTGCACATGTAAACAATGACGTGTATGTCTGCATTAAATCTTCATCATTCTATATATTCTAATGAGTCTTTAGCCTATCACAAAGCAAATATTTTGTTTAATGAACAGAGCATTCATTTTGACTAGAATTGTGAATCCAAATTGTGGTTTTGGGGGCCTTAATATTAGTAATAGAATTTTAGACCACATAATTTAAATTACATAACTGCATAGACATTTGCCTTTATTTTGTACATCCAGGTCCAGACTACGTAATATGTGGCTAAAATGACACATTTAAAGTATGAGAGCTCTCTTATTCAACTTTTAGACCAAAAGCATACACAGTGCATTAATTGCATTCTTTCCCTGTAAAATTTCATGGAAGTATGATTTTTGCTGAGATTCATTTTTCTATACTTTGAGGAGAAAGTCAGAATGTACAGTTTCTAGGATGAGGCAGCACTTCATATCTAAAATAATAGATTGAGCCAATTTGTCCTGATAATACCTCAAATGAGGATCCCGGCAACTACTGTAAGGTCAGTTGCACGGTCCCTATTTTTCATGTATAGATGCTCAACCTGTTAAAATGCTTAGCCAGACTGTTATTCTCAGGAAATTAATCCACGTTAATCCAAGAATAACCAGAACTAACAGACATCCTTAGTCCATTATGCTTTCAGCTTTGCATAACACTACTTTTAAGTCATAAAACAATTTGACAAATTACATATTATAATTCCCATCTCACAGACTAGACAATTGAGAGCCAGGGAAATTAAAACTATTGCTCAAAGGGCACAGCTATTATACTTGAGTTAGAAGATATTTGAAAAGGTAACTTTAAAACTTGTAAAACCCAGCAGCTTTCTGGGCACAGGGTCCTCAGCAGATCCTGGTAGACAACTGCTTACTCAAATGTCTTTCAGTGAGCACCAACTTGGGCCCTGACATCCACTGATGAAGTAAGTTTCCAGCTCTATCATTACCCTAATTCTCCGAACAGTACATGAACAAATGCAGGGTTTCTGAACAAATCCGTTTAAAACACATCAGTGCTTAACCAAAATGCAAGGCCAACTCTGACTTGTAAATCAAAGCATTAACCCCCACGTGGGCCATAGGTTCCTAACCATAGAGCTGCTGAAATGATTTGCCAGTATGAAAGATGATGACACCTTTGACACCCCATTATCTCCATAAGTGGAGGGGGTGGGAGGACATGTTTCCGACCAAAATTTTGAACAGGTTCTCTCTCTTTCTCCTTACCTCTCTCCCTTTCTCTCTCTTAGGAAAGTTGCATGTGTACATTACATGTGGAGGGTACAGGAAGGAGGTGACACTATCAAGGAGAGAAATGTATTGATGGATCTAATTAGAGCAGCATTCAAGAAATCTGATGTTGACAAAAGATATATATATATATATATATAAATCTCCAATGAGCAGACTCAACCTAATTTCAAGGCTGGGTTTCCCATGTGAAGCCAGGAACTGAACTATAAAAGTGAAAAAGCATCAAAGTACATGTTTTTCTTCTGACTTGTTTGTCATTGTGCTAAGTTCCCGCTGAGCCGGAACTTAAGATAACTTGCGTCATTCCATGTCTACAAATGGTGACTTAACTGTGGTAACATAAAACAAAGCAAACAAGCAAACAGACAAATATTTTAAAAAGTGCAGAGAACTATGAAAATATATGCACAAGCCTATGGAGATTTCAGGGAATAAAACCATTTGGCACAATTATTTTCATAGGTTGGTAAATTTATTGCCTGATCTGTGTTCCGACAGGAAACATGTGCCCAGAAAAATAAATTAGAGAAGTGCTCAGCTGTAGGCTAGTTTAGTTAAGGAGTAATGAAAAGGATAAGAATAGATGATGTGAGTGTAAGAACAGGCTCGGATGCTTTCAGCTGGGTGTCTCTGGTTTCTATTATCATCTCTCTAATATAAATGGAACTCTACAGTTCTTTAATGACTCTCTAGGGACCACCACTCACAGGATTAAACACTAAGAGGGGACCCAAGAGAATGCTGCCTTTCATCTCCTTAGGGATGTGTCAGAGTTGTGAATCTTATTATTATTATTTTTAATGACATTCAAGTGAGGATTATCTAAACTATGCTATAGAAAGGAAAAGAAGAAAGGAAGAGGGAGAGAGGGAAGAAGGGAGGAAGGGAAGAGAGAAAATGAATGTTGGAGTTTGTAACCCTTGAGGTCTAGATTGGCAGAAGTTTTATTTTAAGCTCTCAGGACCAAAGTGTCTTCCTCTGACCCTTCCTCTTAAAATAGCATTAAAAATACAGGAGTAGACACGCTACATATACCTGTCCAGTTTGAATACCAAACTGACTTTTGCCTGGTTGTTCTGAGGCTTGTGTGAGTCACCTGTCTCGTGCTGTTTGGCCATTAATGAAAGAGTTACAGCTTCTCTAGGCCTCAGTTTCCCTTTTTTATTGACATGAGATCTCTGGAGAGTCTTCCGGCTCTAAAGTTATATGAGTCTATGATTCTGATAGAAGGCCCCAGAGAGGAATAGAGAAGAGTGAAGGAGAAGAGTTCTGTAAAAAAAACGTTGGCTTCATGGCTTTGGCAGCAATGGGGGAGGAGGGAGGAGGGGAGGTAATCCTACAGAAGCTCAGACTTTTTAAGCATTTTCCACCTTCTGCTTTATTTTTTATATCGGCCTCTTTTTGCCCAGACAAAGCTGGCACATGAGAAGCATCAGTGCTCGACATAGACCTCTTCTTCAGCTGCTTTTTCTAAGTTAACACAGGACACTAGATTTCTTTCTTTTTCTGAGAAGCTGTGAACTGGTGATGTTGCAAAGGTTTCTGGCAAAACCCAAGCGACTGCTCAAGCCCTCTACAGTCTATACACAGCCTCTCTGTAATCCAAAGAAGTCCTCAGTTAGAAGGGGGTGGAGTTGGAGAGAAGCAGGCCCCCCTTGTTTCATTTTTAGCACTGGTGTGAACCCTGGTAATCTGAAGACCACATCTGGGCATGTATATGCAAGGATCATTGAGGAAACTACAGCCGCTTCTCTCCACCAGCTTTGTCCCTCAAAGCCCACCCTTTCTCCCTCCACCCACGCACCAGCCAGAAGCCACCCTTCAACTGCTTGGTTTATTGTCATATTTTTGTGTTAATACATTCTGTTGATCTGCAATGTCAGATTGAATAATGAAATTTAAATTGAGTCCCTTCGATTTCCAATAGCTAAACATTTGTGCATCTAACTCCGGGGCTGACAAGCAACTTAAATGCATTCTAGAGTGTCAGTCACACGGCACTGGCACCCCACACTGCAGCGGCTTTCTTGGGGAGCTTTTTTTTTTTTTTTTTCCTGGTGAACATTTGCAAAGGCGTCTGCCTAGGATGCAGTCAACCTGCATCCTTATAGCAAACTGGCTTATCGGTGAGCACAGACTGAGGAAGCAAATGTGTGGGCCACCCATTCCCTTATTTTCTGGCCCCCAATAGCTAGTCCTTAAAAAAAACGAGGGAGGGGGGAGAGAGGATACAGAGACCAAGAACACCAAATCAACTGACATTTTCTTTACCAATAAATAAGAAAATAAGGGTCACTCACTGTATTTCAGACTGATCACAGCAACATCCAGATGGAAATCCAGGTGGTTAAGAACAAGAGAAAACGCATGATCTTGATAGCAAAAAGAAAAAAAATTTTAAAAAAAAGGAGGTTGATGAAGAAAAATCCAACTGCAATTATCCGTCAATTTTAGTCAACATAGGCACAAATCCAACTGTGCTCTGCTGGTTTCTCTCCCCCAATCAATGCCTCATTCTGCCGCGGTCAACTTTTCTTCTCTGAAATTTCTTTGCAGATGTATTATTAATTTCCTCTCTTCTTGTGGGAAATTCAAAAAGAAAGGAAAACACCACCGAACCAGTTCTTTACTTTGCTAAAAAAGCCCCAAACTTTTCATTCCAAAAATATCTTCTTGGTGTACTTTCTCCTTTATAGAGAAAAATGAACATACTTTTTTCTTTGTGAATCCTCCGTTCTCCATTTCCAATCATCCTTTTTTTTTTTTTTTGCGGGGGGAGGGGAACAGCTGCTTTAAGATTATTTATTTATGTCAGAACACACCAACCCCCGCGGGTCTAACCCTGGTTTATTTCATTCTTGAATGCTCCCTGTGTGCACATATACACATTTGTGTTAAGATCCAGGACTCACAAGAAAAAGCTTCATTCCTCCTTCTCTCTTGCACAATCAGTTTATCCACTGCGTTCGATTCCAGGAGAGAGCTGCGTCCCGCGTCCTTCATTTTTGCAAGGCACCCAACAGCCACCACCACCACCACCACCACCACCACTACCAAAAAAAAAAAAAAAAAAAAAAAAAAAAAAAAAAAGGAAAAGAAAAAAAAAGTCTCCTTTTACATCGTCAATTCCTCTCCCCAGCCTCCACTTCGAAGAATTTGGGGAGCAACTTCCCCCCAACTCTCCATCCTTCCGGCCGGCCCCTTCGCCAAAGATCTGATTAGATTTCTCATCACAACCCAGTGCGCAATTGAATTTTTGATTTCAGCCACCCGGCCAGCCACCTTCTCCTCTCCCCTCCAAACTCCGGTTATATCCCGTCTCCTTCCCTCCACCGCCTCTGCAATTTCATAATCTCACGTTAAATGGAGTGCGGGGGGCGGGGGCGGGGGCGGGGGCGGAGGTAGTGGAGGAAAATTTCAAGGCTCCGTCAGCTGTCAAGAAGAAACCCGTTCCTCCCCCCGGCTACTTTTTAAAAAATCTTTTTAAGGCTGGGGTGCCTTTCCTTCCTCTGTCGCCGCCCCCACCCCCGGCACCCGGTCCAGATCCTCCAGGTGTTGCAGAACTCCGCGGTCGGGGCCGGGATCAGGGGGGGGACGCGGGATGCGGCCCCTCGCCGGTGGCCCCTGCCAGCCCCCGGGCCCCCTTCTCCTCCATCAGCCGGCCGTGGCTCCCGGGGCGCCGCGGCGTTGGAAGTTGAGACTGGGGCTTTTATTTGAAATGGGGAGGACGAAGTGAGGGGACTGACAGGGTGGTGGGCAAATTAACACACACACCCACAGACACACACACACACACACACACACACACACACCCCAAAAATTTAAAAAAGAAAAAAAGAAGAAAAAAAGGAAGGAAACGGGTAGGAAAAAAGAAAACAAAAACAAAAACAAAAAACAACCCTAATCGCTGGCTCTTGTCATCCTTCTGAAATGCAACTGCAGCTTTGATCTCATTTCCAGCTGCGCTGGGTGCGCGTTGGAGCCACAAGTTGGTTCCCGTCGGCGCAGCCCTTCCCGGCGCCCGCCAGGCTTCTGCGGGGAGACGCGTGCTCGGGAGCGCGGCTGCCCCGCGCCGTCCTCAGCGCCATCGCCCCGGCTCTCGGCTCCCCGCGCGGCGGAAACCCCGGTCCCCTTCCATCCACTTGGCTCTGAACTCTCTTCCCCGCCTCCCTCTGCGCTCTCCCCTCTTTTCCTCCCAGATCAATGCTCTCCCCGCGCCGGCGGCCGCTCTCGCCGGCCTCGGCTCTCTCTCGGCCAGTGCCGCGTCCGGACGCCTGGGGTCCTGGCTTCCAAAAGCTCCTTTCGGACTGCAGTCGCCTTCCCTCCTCCGTCCCTCTCTCTTTCCCCTTTTCCTTTCCCTGTCTCTGCTTGTGATCAGTAAAATACAATTACCCAATTACCTCCCATCATCTTAGCACTGATTGGTCAATTGCTTTAACACTTGAAGTCAGGGAAGAGGGGATTGGAGCCTCTGAGGTGTGGCACTGCTGCCACCTGGAGGGCAGAGCTGGAACAGCTGAGTCTCAAAGCGAACCCCCCACGCCGGGAGGTTAGTGACAGGCAAAGAAATTCAGGCTGTGTGGGAGAAGTCAGTTTTGTTTTTTTTGTTTTTTTTTGTTTTTTTTTTTTTCCTCGAAAAGCCTGCCTGTTTTCATCCAGAAATCCAGGAGTTTTGAGCTACAAAGAGGAAGACATTAAAATCAAACCACCACCAAGATTCAAAATTATCAGCAAACACACAAAGCTGTTGTTTCAGATTGCAGGGGAAGAGCCTCTGCCCTCTATGGTCAAGCACACTAGTCTCAAGGTGACGGTTAACACATTACTATTACTTAGATGGGCGTGGTGGCTCACACCTGCCAGCACTTTGGGAAGCTGAGGCGGGTGGATCACGAGGTCAGGAGTTCGAGACCAGCCTGGCCAACATGCTGAAACCCCCGTCTCTAGGAAAAATACAGAAATTAGCCAGGTGTGATGCCTACTCGGGAGGCTGAGGCAGGAGAATCGCTTGAACCCGAAAGGTGGAGTTTGCAGTGAGCCATTGCACTCCAGCCTGGGCAACAGGAGCAAGACTCCCTCTCAAAAAAAAAAAAAAAAAAAAAAAAAAAAAGAATGGGCTCATCAGAAAGAATCCTGAGTAGCTTAAAAGCTACTGGGGAGGGAGGCTGAGGTTGAGCAGGATAATCTCACCAGGAGGAAGCAACTGTAAAGGCCAGATAGCAGCCTTCAGCCTATGCAGTGTTGCAGTAAATTGGCCTGTTCAGTTTGTACAAGACATCCAGGACAGCTTGACAACTCAATTCCAACATCCCTGGTCCAGGATGTGGACTTTTCCGTCAACTTGCGTTAGATAAATCGTTGGCACATTTTGAATTCATTGGCTCTCCTTAGAAAGAAGGACTGAGACAACAAAATAATGCTATTAATATTATATTTGTATTGGTTTCTTTTTCCACTGTATAATTATCATAAGGCCCTTTCAGTAACCTATGGACATTCACTTTATGTCATTTATGTATGTAACCTTGAGATATGAATGAAATAAATAAAATTAGGAATGATAATTCAAACAATACTATATATATATATATATATGGGATAAAGAAATGTTTCTGTTTTGTGTGCCCAAAGTAATGATCTTTGTGCTGATTTTATTTTGAGAGAACAGGATATGTACTTGGTCTAAAAGAAGTTTTAAAGAAAGTGTGTAAATCATTATGGAAGATAGCATTAGACAGAAAGGAGAAAAGGTTTATTAAGAGAACATCAGAAGCATATCCAAGTTCATACAAAATGCCGTTTTTCTTCTTTTCTGTTCCCTTTAGTGTACATGCATAGTTCCTTGCTCAGAGTTAAAAAAAAATTACATCTGTAATGTTCTTTGCATATTAAGAGCATGCTTTAATGTGCATTTTAGATGTCAGTACATGCAAGGGGAAAAACTTTTCCTTGCACACGGATTGTGATTTATTGTAATTTCTCCATCTTTCTGGAGAGCTTTGATGTTATGAATTACATCAAAATGTGAATTTCTTGAGGGTTAATGGCATTGCTTCTATTTTTAAATGAATGCTGCATTGATTGATTCAAAACACTAGTGGACAGTTGACTTTAATTTGCGTTTTGAAGCTCTTACCCTTATATGCCAATTATAGCTTATCCACTAATAAACGATTAAAAGTACATTCACTAGCTGCACTCGATAGCTTCAAAGGAACCTATCCTCTGATTCTGAAGTAAGCTAGAAGCCATTTGAAATGAAAATTTTCTTTTTAGGGATTTTGACAGCAAAGGCAGGACCATTGATTTGTTTTTTTCAGAGCTGATTATTAGCTATCTATCAGACATCTTTAATGCTATCAGAATGAATTAATCTACTAGGCAAAGCAGCAGAGACAGATAAGTAGTATTTGGCTAAAAGGAAAAAGGAATAGCTTCCCTCTCCTGTTAACCTTCCCCTCCAGCAGTATCTTTACCCACATCACTGACTCGTTCACACTATATGACCTTGAATTAGTCGAGTGGCTTTTATTTTTATATTTAGATTGAACCAGTAATTATTGAGAATCCATATGGCATTTTTTCGGGGGGTTATACTTTTTATATATATCACCTTATTTAATTCTCAAAACAACCCCCGAGAGATTTTGAAGATGGAAACAATGAAGCTTAAAGTCACAATCTTGGAAAATGACACAGCCAGAATTTGAACCCAGATCTTCTCAATGCCAATTCTTCTGTAACATCCAGGCTTAGTTTACATGGGGAACACCCCTATGTCAGCTATCAACATGCAGGCTGTCATTTTCTTCCCTGAATGCCAGGCATGCATGTGTAACCGTTTGAGAGGATGGCAATTCCACGTTTGTCACTGAACGACCTTACTCAAAAGAGAATTGGAATAAGTGATAAACAAGCTAACTGTCATGAAAGTACACGTGCAAACCAAATTGTTGCTGAAAAAAAAAAAACATATTATTGATATGTATGCAGTAGAGGTTGCCAGGTACTGTTAACAGTGACAGAGTACGTATTCAAGTAAAAATCTTCATAACAGCTCTTTTGGAAGAAATAATATTATACCACCACCCTCCCCATTAGCCCATCTAGTTACCAAAGGCATGGAGAGGACAAAATTCCTTTTTGAAAGGACAGGCCTTAAGAGAAGAGGAGGCACAGTGCTAGCATTCCAGATTTGCTCTACGGACATGCAGAGCTCTACCTTTGTCCCTCTCTGACTTGTAGACATGAGTCATTAAACAAAACTATCATCTTATTTCACTGTATGTTCGTGACTGTAGCTGGCATAATCTGTAGCAAACAGCAGGGGACAGCATCTTGTAATCAGAAATACAAACCAGCAAATAGAACAAATTCAGTAACTGCTTAAAAGTAAAAAAAAATGAATGTGTTTATTGTTTATTAATTGGATTTAAGAGGCTGTAGGCTACTCTATTCAAGCACAATACATACTTAAGGTTCTCATCTTTATTCTGTGTTATAAATCCTGGAAATAAATATTCTTTTTTCACGTCCAATAGTATTACACAGGGACCACAATATCCTCTGGGATAATTGTATCAAGCTTGCCTGTATAGTCCCATATAATGGCATGTGAATTAATTTCATTAAAACAACTTATTTTTGACTGGACCAGTTGGCTCATGCCTGTATTCCCAGTACTTTGGGAGGCTGAGGTGGGTGGATCACAAGGTCAGGAGATTGAGACTACCCTGGCAAACATGGTGAAACCCTGTCTCTACTAAAAATACAATTAAAAAAAATATAGCTGGGCACAGTGGCGCATGCCTACAGTCCCAGCTACTCAGGACGCTGAGGCAGGAGAATCCCTTGAACCTGGGAGGCAGAGGTTGCAGTGAGCTGAGATCACACCACCGCACTCCAGCCTGGCCAAAGAGCGAGATTCTGTCTCAAAATAAAACAAAAACAATTATTTTTTGAAAACTACTTTGATGTTTAAATTCAATACTTAGTGGGAGTTTACTACACATTACATTAGATAATATTCTATA